CTAACCATTCTGTTGGTGAACCTTTCTCTGGGAAGAAAGGCTTTTATCTGGTTCACTTGTTCATGTTTCTTTAATTTCTCTAGCAAGATTCCAAGCATGAAGACAAATCTTTTCCAAGGACAAGCATAATACCCTTCTTGAGTGCTGAGCTACTCAAAGGATGTACCCTACGTGTAACCAAGGATAAGAATTTGATAAGAAAAGAAAATTCTTGTCATCTTTTTTCTAGTTCCATTAATTCCTCTCCACAGATCATGCTAATCCAATAATGATTATCTCCCTCTACAATTCTTTTCCATGCAGATTCCTATCAAGCATACAAAGAGTTGTTTCAATTGCCTTTCATGCTCTGATGTTTCTCTGTTATGATTATTAGGATGTTTCTCATTAGCAAGCAGCTTTTAAAGACTAATTCCTCAATAACTTTTCTCTATACTCCTCACCTCTCTACTTATTCTCACCACCCCTCATACCGTGATTCAGGGATCCTCATTATAAATTCCCATTTATTCACTTTTTCACAACAACATTTTCAAAGGATGAAGGCCAGAAATTTTTCTTCAGGTATAATGAAAAATAATAAGCATTGAAAGGCCATCCCTTAAATATTTCTGCCTATCCCATAAAGGTGACAATCAGCCAGACAGTGATCTACCCACACTTACAGTGATTTGATTGTCATGCATGCACCGTATCTGAGGGCAGACCTACAACATTCAACAAGGGACATGCAGAGAGATCCAAGTCCAAAGGGCTTAGCTCCCTGCAAACTTCTTAGCTAAGTTCTGGAAGCAACATAGCTACAGGACAGCTGCAGACTTCTATAGCATCCTAGGCTCAGTCTGTCTCCTATACAACTGGAGTATCTCTGGACTGAAGTTACAAATGAGGATGCCTGCACCAACTTAGACAGGACCAAAGAGATCTGAATTCTTTTTTTCACATCCTTTTAAGGGGAATAAGGTAAAATAAAGATCGGTAGCAGAAGGAAAGTAGGGACATATAGAAGACAACCTCCAGAAGCACAGGCAGAAGGTTCAATAATCGGATATTTAACACTGTTTTTCTTCACAGTTCAAAGTCTTTTTCTGTCTTCAGCAACACGCTAGTCTTCCCCAGAATTAACTCAAAATACTTTTTTTCTTCTGTTCCATCTAGAGCTTTCTTCTAGCACATGAAAGCCGTCCTGGTTCTCTTCATTTTACAAGGAAACACCTTGAAAAGACAAGCTGGCTTATGACACTAGTGAACATGCCAAGCAACTGAAAACTGAAAACATTTTTTACAGGATGTTCCCTTTCTTGCTTACCTTCAGGGCACAAGTAGTTCAGAACAGTAATCAAAAGTGCCTATCCAGTATAGGAACTCTTACTAACATAATTAGCCAGTAAAGCCTGACTAGCTTATTTCCAGCTCTGCTTCCTTTTCAGCTTACAGGCTAACTCTAATGAGTTGCTGTAGTCATTAGTGGACATTGATAATATGACTTAGTTCCCAGGTGGGTGGGGGTTTTTTTATGCTATAATCACTTACACTCCTAAATTAAACCCTGAAGGAAAAGGAAGAAGAAAGCAGCCTGCCAATAATCTAACTTCTTACAGTAGCAAGCCACTCTATCTTATGTCATTGTGCGGGTCTTATTATGAAAGCAGGGCTCATTACAAAAGTTTTTACTCATACACAGGCTACATAGAAAGAGAATATTAATACCCTTATCAGGTCCATAGGAATTACTTTGCGAAAACACATTGATGGTCTTCCTGCCTGCCTCTCCTAATGATAGGTAACATCTGACCTTTCTGAGAGGCATAACCTCCCCACTACACACTCTAAGTGTGCATTATTACAAAAGCAAGATGACTTCTTTTTGACCTCAGCTACTAATAAGCTTATGCTATGTTATATAAGAACAACAAAAAAAAGTTTTGTAATATGTTAGCAGGTGTAACTACCAATGTTATTTTTCTTTTCAACTGTGTGTCCAGTCACTTGAGTCCTGCTGCCTCCTGCTATATGTTCAGATGGGTACAGTACAGCTAAAATACTTGAAGCACCTGAAGTTTCATTGTCTTTTAGCATATTCTAGATTTCACTCCTCTCTAACTCTGAAAAGTCAAGTGTGTCGAGATAGAGCACATGATTTTGTCATTTTCTTATTCTGGTATTCACTATTGTGCTAATTTCTAGATCACATAAGGCATTAAATAATGAACTTGCTTCACTGCAACAAATGTCTTCAGAAGCAGAAATGGGCTTTAAAAATGTACATTTAAGAACTTCCAATTTAGGTGACTTTGGACAATGTAGACTACAATGCACAAATACTTGTTATTGTTAAGAAAAAAATATCTGTCATTATTTAAAATACTTTGAATCTTCCTAGGGATTTGCACTGCTTTCATCGCTATATTACTTCTGAAGTCTATGAAAGAACTTCACAGTCTGGACCCAGCAATTCACATTTGTGCTACCAGTGCTAATATTTGCAGTGGGTTATTGGAGATCAAGTTGGAAAGGATGTCTCATCCGCACTCAATTTTAACAGCTTCCTCATACAGTGCCGTACATCTCCCTTACAAGTTTTCCAAAGGCAAATCTTTTGAAAGATGGAAACTTAGGCAAAGGAATACATTTTTCCATCATTAGCCTTGTAAAGACCATGACACTTCTTTCCTCAGTAGAAGGTTACAAGCCAGTTCTAAGGTCTCTCTTTTCCTATTTTTTCCATATTCTCCAAAGCACAGAGGTGAATCAACACAGTCGTTTTAGAGAGTATGATCTGTGTTCATCTAAAGGCTTTCAGGTAGTCAGATAGCATTAATCATAAATAGCTCCCTTAGTGGTAGCCAGGTGCTGACTGCACATGTCACAGCAGCCAGACCCATGGAGGTTGCCACATCAGTCTGAAATCACAGTTGTAAAGGCAGATGCAGCATTTGGTGCAATGCAGAAATGCATTGTGCCAGCCAGGGAGATGTCACTTTTGAGATTATCAACATGAAGGCATGAAAGCACAACATTAACCCCCTGACGGTATCTTCAAGCAGTGGTTCACTGTTCTTTGCAAGTCAGTTACAATCAGAGTTTTCTGTATCAGCATACCCAATTACATCCCTGGAGCCAGTTTCACCCCCAGACGTACGGAACAATCCAGAGGAACTTGTTCTTTATTGACAAATCTGTTTCAATATTTCACATCACTTGGCCTTAAGACATTCACATGCTAAACTGCTAAACCCATTTAATTTACCTTTGCAAAATTATTTCCAGTTACCCAGTGTAATGCCTGAGGACATACTGAAATCTCAGGAGATGATTAAGATTTGTTCAGAATATCTGCCTTCTAATGACACAGTATGCCTGTTTTTTATTTTAGTCTCACCACTTTTACATCTATATTATGTAAAGAATTAAAACTGTTACATAGCTTAGGCTAGAGAACAGGGGCTATTTAGAAATCTTTGTACTGCAGTTAGTATGCAGGAGTCTACCATCCTGTTGTGCTTTGCTTGTTGCACCTATTCTGTGTTCTGCTTTCTGCTAGAAAAAAAAGCATTTTGCATATTTTTTAATAGTGACATTCCCATTAAGGGAATACAAACTTCTTGCTTTTAGTATGTTTTTAAAATCCTTTAATCAGCTAGCAGACATTATACCTAAGGAGCTGAGGGACATACAGATGTCTCCAACACTGCCATGAGAAACACATCTGAACCAATATCCCTAAACAGAATTCACCCTGCCAACCAAACATGTTCACCTGTCTTTTGGAGACAGATGAAGGATGTGATCCAAGCCAGCCCTGATCCAAAAGCTGTATAGTCACACCAGCACAATACCGCTTCCTGCTGTGCTTCTTAGTTACAGTACCAGGCTGCCTAAAGGTACAGGTACACAGCTTCTGACTCAGAACTGACCTGTCTTCTGTGAACACAGAGCACAAGCAGGGAGAGCCCGCATCTATCTGCAAAGAAACAGAAAGAATTTGTTTTGCTTAGGAGAGGCAGAAGAGCACTGCTGTCTACATGTATGGGCAAGGGAGAGGAATCAATTAAGCAATGGGATGCTGTCTGTGGAAGACCAACTACAAGGAAACTGAACAAGTTTAGGCTGAAAAGTAGGAAAACACTTTTTCTGTCACAGCAATGAGATACTGGAACAGCTTCTTAAAATAAATACTAAGCTTATAAATTTGATTCACTTATAGAAAGGGTTTTATAACACAGTTGGATGGATGGACATAACGATAGCTCCGTGTTCTTTCAAACAGCCTGAAATCACAACAGAGCTCTTGTGCGACACCCCAGAGGAAACACATTGTGGTCTTGGAAGGCTCAGACACAAATTCAGATCTGAAATATGAGGCTGAGTTCAACTTTGGAATATTCCTTAGGTATCTCACATTTCTTATCTAATCTCTATCTTCTCCAGGCTAACTGATAGGTTTCTACATGGGATCCCAGAAGATACTGTACTGGTCTTGCAAGACCCATAATACTTTCCTTGTCTTGAGTTTTAATCAAGAAAAGATAACTCTATCCTTGATAGACCTTTCTTGCATGTTACTCCATTTTCCACTTATCCATACATACTTGATATTTATTTCCTTCAAAATTGATTCTAAAGCTTTGCACACTAGACCAGACTAAAAATTCTGTAGTTCTTAAATGCCAATTATTTTCTATTTTTAATTGTAGACTTCATCATCATTCATTTACTTAAAATTCACAATAGTAAACCTGTAAATTAATATACCAGTAAGTTCAGAGTTCTTGGCTGAATATTTATTTCAAAATTCCCACCTATCATTTTCTGTTTGCTCTCCTGATTGCTGCGTTTAATTTTGGAGGAAGAATTAAGAACTTAATACTATTTGAAAATTTACAGACATGACAGGAAAATGTCTTGCTAATCTGTCACCTCTCACAATTTTTTTTTCCAGGTATTAAGTTCTGATTTTATTTGCACACATTTTTCATTACTCCAGTGAATACATTTAACCTCACTATTTACAATGTTTTGGAGACATAGTTTCTGTTTCCTGGACTTTAAAATGACTGGGAAAGAACCTGCTCTTCACTCCGCCCATTGTGATAGCTCTGTGAACAATTTTGTTCCCCACCAACTCAGCTGATCAATGAACCACCAAGCTGTTTATCCTAACTTCCAAGAAGTACTGTCTTCTCCACATGGCCTACCTGAATCAGCGTCTCCAGCTCTAGCTGGGTTACACAAACATGCTCCCGAAGAAAGTCAGCCTTCTCAAGCGCAATTGTGTTCTTCTGTCTGCTTTCAAAGGGCTGCTCCAGGGCACGGAAGACAAGTCCGCCCGTCACCAGGTAAACTACCACCACGACAAAGATGGCCACCACTGTTTTCCACTTCATGACTGTCTGCAGGCCTTGAGAAGGGGCTTCCATGGTAGCAACAACGGTGGCTCGGGACGGAACGGAGAGTCGTGGAGCTGGGTAATGCCCGTTAGTTTTGGGCTCAGGTTCACAAGCTGGCACTGGTGAGGGAACAGCCACTGAAACACAAAGTTAAAAACTCTTATTAAAAATCAAATCCCTAAGGATATGACCTTGATCTTCAGATACAACTTTCCTAAATATATTTTTTAAGACTCTCACATAAACCATGTTATTCACACAGATGTGGTTCTTCTCATCTGGAAGGCTCCATGTATGTTTCATCCATCCATACACAAGCCACTTCAAGGGTTTGTTTCACCCATTACCTCTAGAACTGGACAGGCCAGTTGCATACATAAAAATTAAAGAAGGATGCAGAAAACCATCTATCTAATAAGAACATGAAAATTTTGACCAGTTAGGGTATAAACTACACAAGGTGGTGTTTGGTGAGTGACCCTGGCAGTGATTAATGTCTTTAAATCATAACACTAATAGTATTAATAGTGCTAGGAAATTGAACTGTTAATGATTAGTGATCACCACCTGGCCTGGTATTGACAGAAACAGAAAATGCTTTGCAAACCACAATGCTGTTTGGCTTACCAACATAAGGAGGCCCATATTATTTACATGGATTCACAAAACCATCAATTCTGAAAATGTTCTTAAAGCCTGGAAACTGCACAAATTTTATCATAAATCATTTTTCAGCCAAAGTATACTAGATATCTGGGGTCAAAGTCACTCACACGCCAAGAACAATGATGGACCTCCCAGCTTGGGACTGAGATACTGTACAGACACGTGACCTTACCAGTACATCAGAACTAATAACCCCTGGTTTCAGCCAGACTTATTAGCCTGACCACTGTGTCAAGATACCAAGGCATCTGAATCAAAGCTGGCTCGCCTCCAGCTAATTCAGGTGTCTCAGCATCACACTTCCCACCCTCTGTTGCCAGTGCTAGCAATGGCAGGATGAGGCCAGGTTCCTCAGCATTCACTGGTATAATGGTACCACATGCAGGCTTTAAAGATGCTGGATTCTTTTTAAACCAAATCCCTGCTGTAATCTTACCATGGTGCAGCTATCACTGGCCTGTAATTTCTTTGAAATTGGACTGATTTATTTTGTATCAGACCCAAATCAGATTACAGTTAAAATACAGTCACTTTAGCTGCATTCTCTGAACTTATTCCCAAAGTGTCTTTTCTGGTTTTCTCAGAAATTAAAGCAGAAAGAATTACAACATCTGATCAGAGTGGCAGCGTAAACTGATTCCATGTAATTTGAACAATAGAAAATATTTTATGATACTGAATAATTTAAGAACTCAGCTGTTTACTACCATCATGTTTTCCTAGAAGCAATACATCTCTGAAGCATTGCATTGAGGATACAGCTTCCAGCTTACTTGCTAACCAATAAACTACAGAAATCTGTAGCTGCTTTATACTTACAGTTAATATTTCTTTTCATATGTGGCTTGGGGGCTCTAGATACTGAACAGATTAGAAAGGATCCAGGATCAGAGGAAAAGCCTCTGTGGTATCTCAGTTTTGCAACACTCTGTGGCATGGCTGTTCAGTTTGACCGTCAAAAGGTCATTCCGGTTCCCAACACTTATCAGGCACGATGGAGTGACATCAAACTTAAAAGGATACTTTCCCTTACCTCCACATATATTTCATGTAAGTTCTAAGAACTTGAAGTGACAATAGGGAGAAGAGTGACAATATTAGAAAGTAACGTTTTTTCTAAAAGAGATCGATTATTTCATTCTCTAAATCTGAAAGGGAAGGGTTATTGTAATAGATACAGTGAGTTTCGGCACAAAGTACCAGAAAAGTATTCAGAAGGAACATAAAATAGAGAGGTTGTGTGAAGCAGTTAGAACCTCCCTTCCTCTATAGGCAAATATCTTAAATCTGAATCACAACGTCTCCTTACTGAACTAAATAAATTTGAGTGTTCCCAGAAGTGGCTCAGCTGGTATAGATCAGTGTAATATAACTTCCATGGATCGCATGGAATTCAATCAATTTACATTAGTTAGAGCCCATACCTACTCTGTATATTGTGAATCAACACAAAATCTGAAAGCCCGAGGGCTGATTTTGCACACTTGAGATTACTCAGCAAAATAGTCTCAGGATCCAAGGCTCACATGGTAAGAAGAAAGCAGAAGTCATATGACAGAAACAGCATGCTACAGTTTTTTGAAACAGCTATCCACCTTACCATGACTGGCATAGTCCAGTATAGGCTGGGTGAGCCTTTCAGTGGAGAGAGATACCTGACTGATATCTCACAAATGATAAGTCAAGAGGAAGGAAGTCAAGAACTGGTAGAGTTAAAACAGCTTTTGTGAGTTTTCTTTTCCTCTCTGCTAGTACAAATGTTTCTTATTCAAATCATATTTCTGGCAAAGTGTTAATAACAGCTTTACAGTAAAATCATGGCCTGTTTGATTCCGTTTTCAAAGGCAAATGTGTTGTACTGATTTAAGAACAAGATGGGAACTTCAGGGTAGGGAATGTAAAATGTTCTTATAAATATTGTGTCACTTAAACAGCTCAATGGATTACTGTGCTCAGCTTGCTTATCTCTAAAATAAAAGATAAATCTTTTCCTAAGAAGAACTGTGTTAAAGTCCTTCATTTTCTGCTATTAGTAATAGTTACCCTAAGTGTATGTAGAAATGTTGATCCTAAAGTATTTTATATGATATAAATTAATATGCAGGAAGATTCTACTAAAGCAGCTAGTTGAACAACTGATGTATAACAGTGATGGTCTTCTTACAAAGCTGATTCAGAAGGCACAACTGCAGTCAATACCCCAGAGATGTTTCAGGGTAGGTTTTAAGCAGCAGGTAGGTATTGGAAAACCAGTGTAGATACTCCAGCTAGCAGATATCTCACTCTTTATGACAAGAGAGTGGGGTTAGTGACTTGAGCACATGGTCAGAAGCCCCGATTTCTAGTTGGAACTCTGCCGCCATGAACCTGTGCACTCAGAAAAGTGCTACCATTCACCTTTAAATCATGGTTTCACCAACTAGAAAAAGATAAAATAGTGCTTACTTTTCTAACACGAGTGTCCTTTAAGAATCCATGCCTGTACAATTTTTGAACAAACAGATGAATATGAAAGCTATATAAACTTACAGAAGTTTAACAAGTAGTTTTACTAAAATCAAAGGATAGACTACTGTAGCAATTCAACAATGTGCAGTGGCATACAAACAGTTTAAGAAAATTAAGGACTACATAAATTCTTGGATTTGTAGAGATAAATTAGACTATAGTTTAGAACAAACATAGAGCAAAAGATAAAAGGATATGTTTACAATAAATGCAGAACAATCCCTGCTTTATTTATCCATGTTTTTTCAAAACAAGCTTCTGTTAGAACAGGCTTTTCTCAGAATAGAGTCTCATCCATGTGTGTTTGTTAAATGATATCAAAGAAGTCTCAATCTGCTTCACTGAAAGCAATGATGAATCTCCATTCACGTGCATGCACTAAAATAGTAGACAGGTAACCTCAAAAGAACAGGTACACTCAAAGGAACACACCAGTGTTTCGACACAGGCCTTACCCCACGAAGAGGATGCCAGTGGGGAAAGAAAGGTGAGTTCCTGTTTGTGTGGATATGCTTCAAAATAAAGCAACTGAAGATACTGATGTTACAAGTCAAATTAAAATGTTAGGATCTGTATAGTTGTCTACCTCCAAGAGTGATGCACTGACAAACTGCACTTGATGTACTGATGAACAGCACAACCAGGCCGCCCATTCATATGGGAGGACCTTAAATACCTGAGATTTTTGCTAATGTTGATGAGAATTAAGGAATGAAAACTCACTCACTGACTGTCAAGAAGACTGGGGCAAAGCTGAACCCAGCTGAAGAGGTTGGCAGTTGGCCTAGATGACCATTGTAGGTTCCTTCCAACTGAAATTTTCTATTCTAAAGCATAAAGCTGTAATGTAAAACATTGGAACTATTGAAACAATGCACCATAAAGCATTGTTTCAGGTTAAAAATTGTTCTTTATTACTGCATCTATGCTTTGCTTTAGGAGACAATGTTTCTAAGAACAGGTTGGACTGATATCTGCCAGAAGTATTTAGGTATAGTTGGCCCAGCTTTACAGCAGCAGGGTGAGCTAGATAACCTGTTATGACTCTGTGAGAATAGTTCTAATTTAAAGGGAAAATCTCCAGACAGAGACGTTCAAAGTGCAGCCACCTCAGAAGGACAGCTTCAAATAAGAGCCAAAATGCTGAAAGGATGTTCAACTGGCTTTTGAGTATGAAAACATTAAGCATAGCTTTGCCACACTGACCTGTATCCTGACAACTATTTTACCCAATATGCCAAGAACATAGGAGATACCAAAGAAACCTTGTTTTAGAGGAGAGTTTCTCAACTGGCTTAAACCAAATATATTTTTTTTTAAATTAACTTGCCCTCTTCTCTGGTATTGCTGTCACAATTTTTATCTGTGAAAAAATGTAAATTGGGTTTAATGGAGTGTCTTATTTAGTACTTTATTTTCTTCCATGTTCCTGTGCGACATAAGCACACAGGAATGTATGTGCATTTTAATGACAGTTTAATAGAAAATTCTTTACACATCTGATGCAAGTGTTGCTTTCATAGGATTCAGCACAGAATTAGATTGAGGCCATATATACTTATGCATTCAGAGACCAGCAGCTGGCTTTATATTTAATACGTGAGTTGATCAAAAATGAAACTGGACACTTCATCTCCCATTTTAGTAGGTCCATCCAAGGAAGACAATAAAGTACTTTCAGCTCAAGTGAAAGGTTCTTTGATGTGCATCTGAAGGTAAGTACCAGTATGTTTCCCCAAAACCCTCATAATATGACGGGAGGTTTTTTTAAAGAAGGGAAATTATGCTTTCTTCAAACATTTACATAGTCAAGCACTCCACATTTCCCACGGTGTCTTCCTTATCTTTGTCTTAAAACTAGAAGTTTAGTTCAAATTATAATCTTAGCATGCAGGCTGGTTTCACTGAGAAAATTCATGAGCAAATCATCCTACAGCTTTCACAAGGTCCTATACTGCGTTAT